TCCTGTTCCCTGAACCAACCTCCTAACAACCCTAGTGAGAAGTGAGAAGCCTGGTCAAGTGCCCTGGTCTCTTTTAGGGCCACAGAGAACTAAACTAGGACCCAGCCTAGAGTTTTGCCATATTGACCTAAGACTCCTCTTTTCAACCATATCACAGGCAGTTCTAGTTCTATCTTACTGCCCTGGCCAATTAAATGTAACAGAATGAGGACTTTTGTTTTCAGAGTGTTGTGTTACCCTGTCTCTTTCAAAGATAGATGATTAGATAGATAGATAGATGATAGATAGATAGATAGATAGATAGATAGATAGATAGATAGAGATATATAACTAGGTAGCAATTTAATATTCTCTGATATATAAAAACAAAATTGCTACCTAGTTATTGAGCTATAATAATTTATAGGAAATATATTCAACCAAAAAGCAACTCAAAGAATAAAGCTTCTTTAAAAACCTGTCTGAACTCTTCCTGGTCAAGAGGGATGAGTTAAAAGGCATCTGGGGTTAGAAGTAGTGAGATCCCAGAAATATTTCTGAGTTTGGAAGTGTGTAGATGGCCCCATGGTGAGTAGCCTTGGATTTCTTCGGAGGGGAGAAGGAAGGGGTGGTTGGGCACTAGTAAATAATAAGGATATGCTAACCACCCTCTGCTTCACGATAGTAAGAAGAAGTTGGCAGCCCTGCAGCAGCAGGTGCACTGCCTCTCCCTGCTCTGGCAGCTCTATAACCTGGAGGCCACAGCCAGCAGCCGCAGGTTTGCCTGCTTGGCTGCTCTTATGCAGAAGAATTCAGCCGAGGAGTTCGCAAATGAAGCCCAGGTAAACAAGTACCTGCTTTACCTCCAGACCTCACTCAGAAACCTGTAATGCCAGGAAGAGAGACTCTGCAAGGTTCTTGGCTTTTGCATGGTTCCACAATAGCCCAGACTTAACAGGATACCACTGATCATATGTTTGACTAGGATTTCTCAACTTGCAGTTTATAGATGGGTTTTCCAAGCATGAGGCTATCTGTGAACTTCCTGAACTGAATTTAGAACTTTCTGTTTGTTCAAAAGAGCATTTGGGGAGTGGAGTGGGAGTAGGGAAGGGGTCATAGCTTTCATTAGATTCTCAAAGAAGTTCGTGATCTAACAAAGGATTAGAATTGCTGACTTAAGAAAAAAGAAGGAAGAGAAATGTGTCTTCCTAATTTTAGTATCTCTCGCTTGCTCACTCTCTCGCTCTCTTTCTCTCAAGAAGATGGAAAGGCATTACTGGGTTCTGAGAAGAGTGACAAGATCTACTTATATTTTAATAAGTTCATTCTGACCACTATATTGAGAATAAACTGAAGGGGGCAAGAGAGGATGCAGGGAGACCAGTTAAGAAGCTATTGCATTAATACAGGCAAGAGATGGTTGGCTTGGATTATTGTGATGTCAGAAGAAATGGGGTCTTCTGTCAAGAGAGAGCCATCAGGATTCATTCATAGGTCAGTTCATGGATGTGTGAGAGAAAGAAGAGTCAAGGATAATCCCAAGATTTGCAATCTGGACTTCTAGAGGGGTAGAGATGCTCTTAATTGGGATGGGGAAGTTTGCAGAACAAACAGATTTGAGGGAAGATTGGGAGCCAGATTTGTTTAATTCGAGATGTCCATTAGACATCTAGGTGGAGATGCTGAGTAGGCAGTTGAAAATGTAAGTGTGAGGTTCATGGGAGAGGTCTGGGATGGAAATAGGAATATGGAATCATCAGTGTGTAAATGTTATTTAAAGCCATGACTAAGTGATATCACCAAGGGTATGAGAAAAGGTCCAAGGACTGAGTTAACAGCTCCAATGTAAAGAGATCAGAGTCATGAGAAACCAGCAAAAGAACCTAAGAAGTTGCAGAGAGACAGGAAGAAAACCAAGAGAGCGTGGTGTCCTGCAAACCTAGTGAAAACAGTGTTTCAAGAAGGAAGTCATAAACTACATCAAATGTGCATGTAGTTAATACAGAGATACAGCAGCAGTTCTGAAGAGCTCTAAGAGCAAGAATCAGAGTCCTTAATTAGAGAAAACATGGAAGAGTTTTGGCCAGTGTTTTGAAAGGGAAAGGCTTGGATTGGAGAAAAAGAAGAGGGGCAGGTAGAGAAAGTGGTTTGTTTAAAGAACAGGCAGTGAGAATGATCAAATTAGATATGTAGGGGTGAGAAGGTGCATGTTGTCATAGCTGGAGTGGAGGTGAGTGGCAGCGACACCAGGAGTCCTGACTGAGTGAGCAGGAAGGCACCAGAGAGAACACTTACGCAGGAAAGGACAAGATGGAAATGTAGCATGAATGTACGCTCAGAATATCTTGCCCCATGTTTGTTGCCCCGCAGGTTGTCTCTACCTATGTGGCTCTCTCCCAGTTCTCTCAGAACATGGGTGACAGGGAGCAGTGGCTGCACTGCGAGCAGATAGCCATTCAGAAAAGCAGCCTCTGTTGGTTCTCCAGGGAGGGATTGTTTGCCACAGCTCAGCTTATGCAGGCCTTGGCCTACACCAAACTCTGCCTCGGCCATCTTGACTTCTCCATCAAGCTGGGTAATGGGGCTTGGGGCTGGGGGGCCTTGGGCTTTTAGGGAGGCCAGGCTCACAGCTAGACCTCACACAATGCTCTTTTACCTCCTTAGGTTTTCAAGCTTGTGAGATATGCAGACACCTCAGGAAACCAGCTCTGGAGAATCTGGTTCTCTCAGTTCTCTTCAGATCTGCATTTCTGAAGAAAAAGTATTAAGATCATTTTCTGTCACTTGTATATGTTGCCTAAGAGGGGAGGGTATGATCTCTCAGAGGAATTTGGAGTGGAGAGGGAGAAGCTGTTCATTTCCACAACCAGAGCTGTCTCTTCTCTAGTCATTACAGGAAACATTGTCTTAAGTGTGAGGGTCTGGATTAGAAAGTGCAGAGTCTGAGCTGCTACATACTCTTTTTTCTTTTCTTTTCTTTTCTTTTTCTTTAGGGAGATAGAGAATTGCAGTAGTTCGAGACCCTCAAAACTGTCTCAGAGGCATTTCCCCACTTCCTTTGTTTAGAGACAGCTCTGTTCCCAGGCACAGATGCTTTCTATATAAATAGAGCTATGGGGAGGAGATCCAGGGAACGTTAGGCTGCGTTGAAGGTATAAGATCTCCTCCTCCCCTGAACCAAACTCCTAACTCTCTAGCTGGACCCAGTGACTCTGTCTCTTGGCAGATTTGACCTGTGTGTCCACGTGCTGGAGAGTCAGTGGGAGCTCATTTCCCAGGGCCATGAAGTCCTTAGCCTGGCCTGCTTCTATTCTGCTTGCTTGGATCTGCTGCTCTATGGAAAAGGTACATCTTGTGCAAGGCTCTATTGTACTCCTGAGGGATTCAGACCTCAGATAAGGACGTAGGTTTGGAACACAGACAGTCAGGAGCATGTCCTTCTGGCATGGCCTCTGCTCCTAGTCCCTGGCTCCATAAAGTATAGGAACCACATTGTGATTCAGGGTATCCCCTGTACCACACACCTTCTTTAAAGTATAGGAACCACATTGTGATTCAGGGTATCCACCTTTCAGATATTGTCTCCTCCCCTGTACCACACACCTTCTTCTATACAGGTTCCTACGTGGACAGCTTTACTAACTAATCTGGTTGCCTTCTCTGTCCACAGGATTGTTGTGTCGGCCCTTTGAGGAGTGTCTGAGTTTCATTCAGCACTATGAGCACAACTGCATTCTAACCTCTCAGAGCAATGTCATGCTGGGGGTCCACTCCTCTCTGGCCATGTGGTAATATGGGGTACCAGAGTCTTACTCTGGGTCTATGGGAAAGGGTAGAAATTTAAGGACCCCCTGAAATTGTTTAAGCTATCACCTTTGACCCCTCTAGGCAGAACTATTTCACATCTCTAACCCACTTCTAAAGACCTTTCACCTCCTATCCCTCTACTTTCTTATTAGAAGAATTCTTTTATTCTTGTCCCTTAACAGGTTTAGATCTATAGGTTGAGGGTTAAGTTTAGGGTTACATTTAAGTGCTAGATAACCTATGGCAAGGCTCAATATCATTGGTCTTCTTGCATGTGAGTTAGTAGCTTTGGCTACTTTCCAGCATCACAATTCTTAACTATGCAGGAGGTCTTGGAGCCTTAAAGAAATGATGGCTCTGTGAAAGAACCATGGTTGTTAAGCAGAGGACAGAGCTGAGAGCTGTTATTCTTTCCCTCCAGGTTTGCCCAGGACTCACAGTGGAGCCTGTTTGAGCATCACTTCTGCAAGGCTCGCCAGTTGGTGAAAAGAACCAATGCCTCACTGTTTGGTTCACATGGCTTTGTCCGATTCCTAGAGTGCCACGTGCTAATTTTACAGAAAATGCCAGAAGATGTCTTCATGCATATTCCCCCAGAGACTCACAATCAAATCCTCAAGGTACCTGTTTCTCCTCTGTCCTTCAACTAACACCTAAGTTATACTTTGACCCTGTGCTACTCCTGACAGCTACATCTTTCCCTCATTCTTCTCTTTGCTGCCTCTGTCTCTTTTTACCCTGGAACCCTTTTTGTTTCTCCACCTGGAAAGTCTTTCCATCTACCACATGTACTCTCTCAGATATTCTTGTATGTGTATCAGGACTGGATTCCAAAGGTGGAAGCTTTTGCACGGCTACTACCCAATACCATTAAAACATTATAATTTGATATATCTCACTACAGCCTTCCAAGTCTAAGACATTCCAGTCCCTCTGTACCTCAAACCAAGTGTCTGGGCCTACTTTGCCATCAGTAGCCCCTCCTGTTTCCCCAGCCCTGAGTGGTTATGCTGAGTGGGGACTGCTGTAAGTTCTGGTATAGTGTAGATTGGGGGGAGAAGGTCCTGATCCCTGAGCTCACGGACCTTTCTTCTCAGTACTTTAAGGAGTTCTTCTGTCGATGTGTGACCTGCCCTGTCTATCATCAGTGGGTCTCTGACCTTAAAGCCTCTGTAATGAGATATGGAAAGAGAGAATCCATGTCCTTGACTAACATCTTCAGACCTTTTGACACCTGCCTGATTAAGATTTGGGAAGAGAGAGAATTCTTGGAGGAAGTCAACTCTACTGAAGGAAATTTAAGAATACAGAGTAAGCATTCCTTCCTGGAACCCTTGTCTGAGAGACATAAAGATAGTCTCAGATTCTTACACACAAGCAATCACCTCCAGAGTAAGAAGGGACACACAGATATAAGGAGTTAGTCTGTGCTTCAGAGGTATTTATTGTCCTCTTACTAGTGCTGGACCCAGCCTGAACAGTCAGGGATCCCTTATATTGTTAAATAATGTAAGAGCTTCTCCTAGACCTTTGTTTCAACATCTGGAATCCTTAAGCATAGAAAGTTACTCCTTGATCCCAGCTTAAACAACTAGATTGTTCCCTTGGAGTATCTGGATAGTCACTAAGGGAGAAAGAAGGCCTTAGAAATCACAATCTAATGTCTATGAAGGTAAATGGTAAGATATGGGCAAGAAAAAGAGAGGAAATAAGACAATGCCTTGCCTTGGGACCCAGCAGTGTTTTCCTTTCTCCAGGATCGCCAGTTAAAGTTGTCATTGCTGAGAACATTCTTTGTGTTTGTGATATTCTCTGTTTCAGGATTTGACAGAGTGGCTAATGTCGAAGAGAATAGGAATGAAGAAGAAACTCAAGAATGTACATGTTGAAATGAAAAAAAAATCATCTGAAGGGATCATGACTCTCTTATTGTATATAACACAAAGAAATGCCCCAAATTCTCCTTTTTAAGATACAGTATAGTGCACAAATTAAATATACTAGCCTTTTACAGTCACCACTATCTATATCTTTGTCAAAATAAAAACCTATGTTTTTGAAGTGTGAAACTTAGATCTTTCCTAACTCTGAACTGTCATTAGCACAACCGTGGAGAAATTTAAACCAGGGGTAGACCAGAGGCCTGAGAGGCTTTGAGATGAACTGATTCTATCTCATATAAGGTAGGATCCATTAACATATAGAAAACACAGCCCTAATAAAGAGGTTGTCATTACCTAAGGAAGGCTGGCAGTGACAATGCTTTGGTGTTGCCCTCTTTTGGTACAGGTGTGGAAATGGGCTGCTAAGAAGTCAAAGAATCTTTTGAGAGGTACATAGTGGGAATCTATTTCTCCTTTGCACTGTGTGTTTTGGGCATTCCTATGTGACATTGTGAAATTGCCAGAGTGTATATGACTCAAGCTCTCTTCTTTATTCTTCCCTTTTGGAGATGCTCTCTTTGGCCTTTATCTGTTTGATGATCTTTCTTCCACAGAGCATGCTCTTCTCACTGATTTTTACACTTTCTAATTCAATCGTCTATTGTTCACAGAGGCAGTTAACTAATGTTATGATAGCTACCATTTATCATTCAATTACTCTGTGCCAGGCACTGTTGCTAAGTGCTTGAAATACATTCTTTAAATCTTTATAACAACTCTGTGAAGCAAGCACTTTTTTTATCCCCATATTACAGATGAAGAAACTGAAGCTTAGAAAGGTTTTACTCCAAGAAACACAGGCACAATATGGTGGAGCGGGATTCTAACTCCAGTTTGATTCCAGAATCTATGCTCTTAACCACTAGGCTATAGAGGCTTTCATGAGACCTAGGCTATAGTAAGTTATCCTGTACCCAGTCTTCAGTATTCTGTTCAAATGACCAAGATCAGAACTTTAAGGAACCACAGGGAGATGTTTGAGTAGAGAGGTCTGTACTTGCCCTTTAAATCATTCTGTCTAGTCTGTACATACCCTCCTTCCCCTTTCCTTCTCCCCCTTTTCTCCCTCCTCTTGTTACCCTTCTTCCTCCCCGTCAAATCCCTTCTCCTCCTCTTTCCATTCCTCCGTCTCTTATCCCTCCTTCCTTTCTCCTTCTCACCCACAGTCCCAGTCCTTGTACTCCACTGCTTTAAATTTCTGAGAGACAATATAGAGCAGTAGTCAGGAGAAAGAACTTAGAAGCCAGGTAGTCTGAGTTCAAATTTTAACTCTGCTACTTATTAGTTTTGTTACTTTCATCATAGAATTTATTTTTTTTATGTTTCGCTTTCCTTTTCTGTAAATGAGGATTAAAGATAGAGCAAAAGAACATTTCATAATTAAATATAATGTGCTAGAACAGTACTTGGTACATAGTAAGCACTCAGTAAATGTTGGCTATTATTATCAATTTAATTTTTATATTTAAAAACAGATAATACATTTGTGTGGCACAAAATTCCAAAGGAACAAAAGTGTATAACAGTGAAAGTCTTTCCCATTCCTGTCCTCTAGCTGCCGGTTCCCCTCCCCAGATCTGTGTTACTACTTCCTTGAATATCCTTGAAAAATTATTCTATGCACATGCAAGCAATAGTAAATATTCACTATACCTTTCACTGTATCCTTTCCCACAATGGTACTAAAAAGGCATACTGTATTGCACTTTCCTTTTCCCTTTGGTTTTTTGTTTGTTTGTTTGTTTTGGCATTTATTTACCTTTGGCAATTTTTAAAGAATTTTATTAAGATAAAATTCACCTTTTTAAGGTATGCAGTTCAGCGGCTTTTAGTGTATCACAAAGTTGTGCGACCATTACTACTAACTCCAGAACATTTTTATTACCCTAAAAGGAACTCTGTGCCCATTAGCAGTCATTCCTAAGTCCCCCTTCCCCGAACCCCTAGTAACCACTAGTGTACTTTCTGTCTCTGTAGATTTATCTATTCTGGACATTTCATATAAATGGAATAATTTGTGGCTTTTTATGTCTGACTTCTTTCGCTTAGCATACATAGTCTTTTCAGGGTTCATCCTTGTTGTAGCACTCCTTTTTATGGCTGAATAAAATTCTGTTGTATGGATATGCCACATTTTGTTTATCCATTAATCACTTAATGGACATTTGGGTTATTTCTATTTTTGGCTATTATGAACAATGCTACTATAAACATTCATGTATAAGTTTTATATGAACATATGTTTTCAATTCTCGTGGTTATATATCTAGGAATTGTTAGGTCATATAGAAACTCTGTTTAACTTTTAAGGGACTGTCAAACTATTCTCCAAAGTTACTGTACCATTTTACATTTTTTACATTCCCACCTGCAATGTGTGAGGGTTCCAGTTTTCCATATCCTCACCAACACTTGTAATTGTCTTTTTAATTATAGCCATTCTAGTGGATATGAAAAGTGGTATCTCATTGTGGTGTTGATTTGCATTTTCTTAATAACTAATCATGTTGACCATTTTTATGAGCTTATTGGCCACTTGTCTGTCTTCTTGGAAAAAATGTCTATTTAAATACTCTGCCCATTTTTTATTGGGTTATTTGCCTTTTTATTGTCAAACTTAAAGAGTTTTTCATATATCCTGGATACTAGATTCTTATGAGATTTGACTTACCAATATTTTCTCTCATTCTGTGAGTTGTCTTTTCACTTCCATGATAGTATTGTTTTGCAGCACAAAGTATTTAGTTTTCATGAAGTCTAATTTATCTCTTTTTTTTCTTGAATAGGTTACTTGTACTTTAAGTATCATAACTTAGGAACCATTGCCTAATTTGAGGTCATAAAGATTTACTCCTGTTTTCTTCTAAGAGTTTTATAGTTCTAGCTCTTACATTTAGGTCTTTGACTCATTTTGAGTTAATTTTTGCATGTAGTGTGAGGTAAGTTTCCAAATTCATTCTTTTGTGTGTGGATATCCACTTGTCTCAGTACAATTTGTTAGACTATTTCCATTTAAATAACTTAACACTCTTGTTGATGTATGGTTTTATTAAATCTATGGGTTTATTTCTGAATTCTCAATTTTATTCCATTGGTCTATATGTCTATCTTTATTCCAGTACACACAGTCTTGATTATTGTAGCTTTGTAGTAAGTTTTGAAATCAGGAAGTGTGAGTCCTCCAACTTTATTATTATTTTTCAAGATTGTTTTGGCTATTCTGGATCCCTTACATTTCTAAATAAATTTTAGGACCAATTTCCACAAAAAGGACAGCTGTAACTTTGATAGAGATTGTGTTGAATCTGTAAATCAATGTGGGGAGAATTGCTATCTTAACAATATTAAGTTTTCTGATCCATGAAAGTAGCATATACCTTTTCCATATATTTAGGTCTTTAACTTTTTTCAATGATGTTTTATAGTTTTCAAAGTACAAGTCTTATACTTCTTTTGTTAAATTTATATCTAAATACTTTATTCTTATTGTTACTATGGTAAACAGAATTGTTTTCTTAATTTCATTTTTGAATTATTCATTGCTATTGTATAGAAATAAAATAGATTTTTGTATATTGATTTTGTACCCTGAAACTTTTCTGAACTCATTTATTAGCCCAAAGTTTTTTTGTGGGTTTCTTAAGGTTTTTTATATACAAGATTATGTCATCTGCAAACAAATAATTTTACTTCTTCCTTTCCGATCTGAATGCCTTTTAATTCTTTTCTTTGCCTGATTGCACTTGCTGGAACCTCTCATTCAATGATAGATAAAAGTGGCAAGAGTGAACATTCTTGTCTTATGTTCAGTCTTAGAGAGAAAGCTTTCAGTTTTTTACTTTTAAGTATGATGTTAGCTGTGAGGTTTTTTTGTGAATGTCCTTTATCAGATTAAGGAAATTTCCTGTAATTCCTAGTTTATTGAATGTTTTTATCATGACAAGGCATTAGATTCTGTCAAATGCTTTTTCTGTCATCTATTGAAAGGATCATGTTCATTTTCATATGTAGAACCAACCTTGCATTCCTGGCACAAATCCTACTTTTTCACCATGATTTCCTTTTAAGCACTGACTTTGCTTCATCTCCTAAATTTTGGTATATCATGTTTTTGTATTCATTCATTTCAAAGTATTTCTAATTTCTCTTGTGATTTCTTCTTTGACCCATTGTTATTTAGGAATGTGTTGTTATATTTCTATATATTTGTGAGTTTTCAAAATTTACTTCTGTTGTTTCTAATTTCATTCCATTATAATCAGAAAACATACTTTGTATGATTTCAGTCCCTTAAATTTATTAAAACTTGTTTATGGTCAAACATGTGGTCTGTCCTGGAGGATGTTGTGTATACACTTGAGAAGAAATGTGTATTCTGCTGTTGGTGGTGAAGTGTTCTACAGATGTCTGTTAGGTCTAAGTTAATTATAATGTTGTTCTTGTCTACTATTTCCTTGTTGATATTCTATTTACTTGTTCTATCCATTATTGCAAATGGGATATTGAAGTCTACAACTGTTACTGTTTATTTATTTTTCCATTCAGTTCTGTCAGTTTTTGTTTTATGTATTTTGAAACTTTGCTGTTAGGTATACATATGTTCATAATTGTTATATCTTCTCAATGAACTGAGTTTTATCATTATAAACTGTCCTTTTTTGGTAACAATTTTTTGTCTGTAAGTCTATTTTGTCTGATATTAGTATAGCCACTCCAACTCTCTTTAGTTAGTTTGCATGATATATGTTTTTCCATCCTTTTACTTTCAACTTCTTATATTTTTGAATCTAAAGTTTGTCTCCTGTAGGCAGCATATAGTTGGCTTATATGTTTTTTAATCCATTCTGCCAGTCTCTGCCTTTTAATTGGAATGTTTAATCTATTTTCATATCTGTCTTTTCTTAATTTATCTTAATGTATCACTTTTAATATATATATATATGTATATATATATATATATGAATTCTTTTATGGCTTCTAGTTTTGTACAATGTTTTAAAGCAGCAGTCTCCAACCCCCCACTACGCCCCCCACTGGGCCACAGACCAGTACTGACCATGGCCTATTAAGAACCGGTCCACACAGCAAATGAGAGGCGGGCAAGTGAGCGAAGCTTCATCTGTATTTGCACCTGCTCCCCAGAGCTAGCATCACCACTTCAGCTCCACCTCACATCATCGGGCATTAGATTCTCATAAAAGCACTGGTCTCTGATGCCAAAAAGATTGAGGACCACTGCTTTAAAGAGTTTTTTCCTAAGATTATTTTGATGGTTTCCCAATGGTCTTTTAAGTACTTTTAAATCAACTGTATCAAAATATAATTTACATTCAAGGAAATGTACCTATTTTAATGTTAGGTTTGACAAATCTATACATACATGTAACCACTACCACAATTAGGATAGAAAACATTACAATCACCCCCAAAAAGTCTTTCCAGCCTCTTCACAGTCATTCTTACTCCACCACCTCCACCAGGACAAAATATTCTCATTAGTTTTCACTGTCATTATATCTGTGATTAAGTTCCCCTTGTTATTTTTTATTTCATCCTTCTTTTGAGTAAGTCAGTTAACACTTTGTCTCTTTTTTATTTAATTTTATTTTATTTATGTATTAGTTACATCATTTTTCTTCTTTAAAATTAACTAGTTATTTGAATAAGATGCTTAATTCTTGTTAAGGGTGTGAATTTTCCTCTGAGAACTACTTTAGCTGAATTCCAAAGGTTCTGATATGAAGTAATTGTCTCACTATGTCGCCTGAGTTTTCTTTGCTTTATTTTCATGTGTTTCTTATGATAAAATTTATGTCAGTATTTTCATCTTAAATGTCACTCATATAACTATGACTTTGGATGGTATCCATAGACTTTCATGAGCAACGATGGAATTAATGTATTTCCCTCCCCTCCTTCCTTCTTCTCTACCAACCAATTGATTATCTTCCTTAGTATTTTCTTTTGTACTACTAGATATACTTTTGCTTCTGTCAGGCTCTAAAAGTTCAAAATACATTTAGATTAGGGTAAGTTTTTCCCAGGAGGGTTCCTTTTAGACTTTATTCTGCCCTTCCTCATCACTCTATCTGACTCTACACCCCTTCACCTCCCCACTAGTCAAGTCCTCAGTCATCTTAGCCAAAGAAAACCAAGGCTTAGTTGATTGGTGAGCAGCTTGATGCTTCCACAAGGGACAGAAATAAATTTAGGTTCTGTCACAGGCTAAGACTATCGGGGTAGCTCAGAACATCCTGCCAGAGGTCCCTAAAAATAGCATCACTAGGCTTACACAGCTGGAGTTCTGGGCACAGCTCCTGCCCTGTCCCTTCTCCTGAGGTGCCTAGACCAAGCTTTAGAGCCCCTCCAGATGGTGAAAACCTCTTTATGCCTATCTCTCCGTGATTATAAGACAACTGCATTCCTGAGCACTTCATCCTTCCCACTTAAGTTTCTCACCTCGAAAAGGCCAAATATTTTCAAATTGAACAGTTTTCAGAAGAAATCTTAGCAAAGGTCTTAAAGGCCCTCCCATGCCCTGCCTGGACTAGCTTTCATTTACGTTTAATCATAACCACAGCCTTGCCATCCATTCCCCTTACCCCCATTCCCATGCCTTTTCTCCACTGGGCTCTTCCCAAGCTCTAGACTTCCATCCAAAAGGAATAGTCTTGCCAGATGGCCACCAAGTTGAGAGAGAGCCAACTCTGGTGATACTGATGTCTGCAAAATTCTTTTATCTTCTGGCAGTTGAAAACCCTTTGTCCTGCCAAGGAATAGTCTTGGTGCATAATTCAGTTTCTGTCCTTACTCTTGTTTCTTTTCAGCCCCATTTCTCAAACCTCATCTATTCTGAGTCTCCTTTAACTAATCATTATCCCCTTCCTCCCATCATATGTTGTCACATCAGAAGATGTCACTTGTTTAGAAGCTGTAGGACAGAAAGCAGAAGCGATTTCTAGGCTTGAGGAAATGAATCTATACTTTCAGGTATCATGAGAAATGTAGGAAATACTTTTGAAGAAGCTTTCTTGGTTCCCCTTGAATCAAACTTCATTGCAGTATTCAGAGCAAGTAATGAAACCACTTCTCCATTGGCAGGACAGGAAGGGGAGATAGTTCAGCATAAACTCTAGACCAGAGTCTTTTCAGTTCACAGGTCTTTTGTATAGTCAAACTCAGGCCTTTCTCTTTCCTCTCAACCATCAAGAATGCATATATCATCATTTAGAATTTATTTAGCCCAGCAGGGTAATGGCAGAGGAACCAGCATGGAGGAGGGTGCTTCCCCAAGATACCTCAGTCACACCCAATCATCACTTTCCAGTTCAGAAAAGTCAAGACATTAGATTAGATTCTAAAATCCCTAGTTGCTCTGATATGCTAAGGATCTAGGGCATTGGCTTACCGGATGGATGTACAGTAAGACCTCCTGGGGTTGCCTCTATGAGCACACAGTGTGGTAAGTGGCTTAACTAGGTGGAGTCTTGCTATTAGGAGGATCCTGGGCTGGCTCCCAGGAGGCCCCTCCACCCTTATCACCTCCAGGGAAGATCACTGTAGCATATGTGACAGGCTTAGAAGAGATCAGGACCTTAGGAGGCAGAGAGGTCAATGAGGATGGGACTGGGGGTGGAGTTTTCCCTGATGGGGGCTCAAGAGGTAGGCTGGTGTAGGTGGTATTGTCAAAGGAAGGTGGTGAGTCGAGCCTAACATATGGTACATCTGACGGCCCATCTACAGCCAGTCCAGAGTCACTGATGTGGTGGACCACTGAGGAGGGCACCTGTAACAAAAGCCAGCAAATCAGGCAGAGAGAACACCTTCCTTGGCCCCAGCTCCCTTCGTTGGGAAGCTCAGGACCACACTGGCTCTGCCTTTCAAATCCTGAGATTGTCAGTGGGCAAGAGGACTTCTTGAAGATTTTCAAGCCCCAAATTTTTCCCCAAACCTAGGAAGGTAGGATACCAAGGTGGGAAGGTGGGAGACCATTGGTGCCAAGATAGTTTGGACCCCAACTGAGTCCCGGTTCTTTCTCTACCCCATCGACCTGGGACCACTCAGTGAGAATGGTAGATGGAGGGAATTTGCCTGGGAGCCTGCAGAGAGGCCTCTTACCATGCCTGAAATTCCACTGCTCTGGGATCGGCCACAGATAGCAAGCCTGTTCCCTGGAAAGACAGAGGACAGCAGCACAGTCTGCTTCCTGTGCTGGCTCAAAGCCCACCTCCTCACTCCCTTCAGAAACCTCTTTCTGAGTCCAGACTCACCTTCCCCATTCCCACCACCAAACCTTTTCCACATCTCTCTTCCCAGCCCAACCTGTCCTGACTCTCCCCACGCACTTACTACTTCCACAACTCCCTTCCAAATCTGCCTTGACACTCACCCTAGCTCCCAAAGCACTTTCTCCTTTTCCTCCAGCCCCCTATCTCCAACCCCATCACCCCACCCTTTCCAGCTCCTGTGTTTCCCCAGGCCTGCTCCCACTGAATCTCCTTCCTCCCCTCCTTCCTTCAGTCATGGGAATTCTAGGGTCTCAGGGCCCTGGCTAAATTCCAGACAAGCCCCTCTGTAGGGATGCAGACCTAGATACAGACCTAGACTTGACTGCAAGACTGGCTGACATAGGATCCATGGAGCCATGCTGGGATAGGGGGATGGACAGCCACCTACCTTTCCTTTTGGCCAGCACAGCAAACAGCACCACCACTGCCACCAGCAGGCCCAGCAGGAGCACAGCGCCCCAGATTAAGGGGATGCTGAGGAACACAAAGGAACAGTTGAGCTTAGTCCTGAACCCAGCTGAGAGCTGCTTGCCAGGAATCTTGGAGCAGTGGCACAGGATGCAGTTCTTGGTGAGCCACAGTTGGGAGGAGATTTTTAGAATGGAATGAGAAAGGCAGGCTCGGGAAGGGAAAAAAAGAAACATATTATCAGGGTATCCTGGATGAAGGCCCACTAGGATGAAAGGACTATTGCTGAACTGGGATAGAGAAGTCTGTCAGTCTGTCTGTCTGTCTGTCTACCTGCCTGATCAGAAGTTCCCCAAGGGAGGAAGGAATCATAGGTCTTCCCTTTGATTTTTTCCAGGGCTCTAAACAAGCCATATCTTCACCACTACCCTCTTCCCAGCCACCCAGACACAGTTTTTCTCAGTACCTTTTCTTATCCTGGGTGGATTCTAGAGGGCTGACACTGCTTACGGGGTCTGACGAAGGGTCTTCAGTCAGACTGCCAATCCCATAGCTCTCTTCCTCTTCTTCCTCTTTCTGGCCAGGAGCTGAGTCAGAAGGAAATGTTTACTGAGCATGTACCCATTGTGGGCAGGCTTCAAGGGCCTGTTGAGGTTTGATAAATGATGGAGTAGAGCTGAAGAAGAAGAGGTTTTTTTAGTAAAAAACAGAGAGGGAGGGCTTGGGATATTCCTTAGGGGCCTACGATTCTGGGGGCCAGGGAATGGAACTCTGCATGTTGCCTGATTATGAATATACCCACTTTCCCTTCTACTACAAGCTCCCACCCCCTTCCCCCTGCATTTCTCCTCCACTACCCACTCCTCTGTACCCCTGTGGTTTTATCAGGTGGCTCAGACTTTGAAGAAACACCCCCTGGGTCATCTATGCCCACATCCTTACTCTATTATGGAATAGGTTTTTCACTCTCATCCTCACTGGTGACCTTGCTCCTGGCTCTTATCAGTTGGTCTCCAAAGGGGCCTCAGCACAGCCTGCTAGACTTTTCCACATACCTGCCACCATTTGACCTGCTGCAGGCTGGCTGAGCCCCAACCTGAGCTCTGCCCTAAGGATCTAAGGGACTCCAGGGTCAGCCCTAATGCGGTACATGCCAACTGAGCCTTGCTGAGAGCTTTGTTCAGACCCTAAAACTGTTTTTTGACAAGTCTCCTGTCATCCCTACAATGTGTTCGGCTTATGGCTGTGAGACTCAAGGTTGACTTCCCTAGGCCTGAGGATCACTCTTGGAAAACTGGCCAATCATTCTAGACCCTCTGGGATGGGGGCCTTAACCTGTTCCTGAGAGATTCACCATTCTTACTCCTCATCCCATGCCAAACCAGGAATAAAAGGTGCTGTGGCCCCAATCTTGCTGTGAATGTTCTGCCTTCCTGGTGTCTTTTAAGCCACTGTGGACGAACCTCAGAAGCTAAAAGTTTGCCTGAGCTACCACCCACTTCCTCCCTGGACACCATGCTTTACCTGCCTGCCTGAACATCCATGTTCTACAGCTGTTGGAGTCCTCCACACCTGCACTATTGCAGGTACCTGTCTACCTGCCCCTTTTCCGGTGTAACTGGTCTTGTCACCATATGCTATTGAAGGAATTATAACCTTGAGTTCTTAGATCTTAGAGTGTCAGGGAAGAAGGAGGACAAAGATGACTAGGATTAACAGGAGTATATTTATAATATAAAATAGTAATCATGAACTCGAGATGAGAGGGAATCCCATGACAACTTAGTTCATCCTCTTAGTTAACAGATGAAAGAAAAATCAAGAGAAGGAAAAATGCCTTTCTCAATTTCACTATTTGGGGATTGGGCACAAATTACTTGGGAAAAGGAAGACCTAAATATGAAAAAATGTCAGCAGTTCAGCAGATAGCTTATTTTCCCTCTAGAACATTTTTTTACAACATCCTATTTTTCGGGAAAAAAAAAATTTTAATATTTCAAAATTTTCTTTTAGTTAATGTTTAGACATTAGAAAGTTGTAGGCTTTGTGAATGAAATCTGTAAAAATAAAATGCTTTCTATACTGAAATTAGGGTCGAAAAGATTAGCTTAATATTAATGACACTTCTCCCATTTTTAAAACTGAATGAGTTGAAGTAATTCAGCATTGCTTATGCCCTGCCTGTATGTGAGACACATACTAGATGCTCAGTGAAGACTTATAAAATATGAATAAGATATGAATTCAGTAATTTTTAGGCCATCAAACCCATTATTACAGGAATAAAAAAAACTAGAAGGTATAAAAAAGTAATTCAAGTTGATATGCCCAAATTAAAATTTTGTTTAAAATATTTCTAAGGAAAAAAAATTTAGAAATGCTGGATGAGAAGACCAAGCCCATGAGTGGGAGAGGAGTCTAGGCCTTCCTATGGGGAGACCCACTTATGCAGGAGGGGGAAGGGGGCCTCGTTTGGCTGTTTTATCTCAGACTTCTCACCCAGTTTGGTTTCCGTTCTCCGTAGAGCCATCAGAAGGCTATCGTCTCCCAAATCCTCTACCCCAGAGGTCCCACCTCCTCCCCGCAAGGACCCAAGAGAAGCATGTTGGGGTGGGGAGGGCAGGTCAGAGGGGCTGTGGCTGGCCTAGGATAACTCACCTGCAGGGAGGATGTCTAGAGTAATTCTATGCACCGTCTGGGGCCCGGTGGTTCCCTCCACCACACAGCCGTACTCCCCAGCATCCTCCTCCCGCAGGGCAATCATCTCCACCTGGAGCAGACCACTCCCCATGTCAGTGAGAAACAGGCGGCTGTGTCCTGGGGCTCTGCGATCCACAGCTGAGGACACCAAGGGCTGGCACCCCTCCGGCAAAAACCGGCACCACACCTTCCGAGCCTTGACGTCCTGGAGTCTGTAGAGACACTGCACCACAATGGAGCTCCCCACTGGTGCCTGCAGCACCTCAGGGATGCTGCCAGCTGAGCCCTGGCCTAGGGAAGGAAAGGATGTGGGAATGTTAGACAGAAGTTGGCACAAGGAGCACAGGCATCTAGAGGTCTATCTTCTGGGCCCTACACGTTCTTGTTGCCACAATAGTGTAATTATTTCTAGGCATGGAACAGAATATATGGAGCCCAGAGTTCAGCTCTATCTGAACCTTACCTGCTAGTCCCAGGAGCAGCAGCAGGAACAGGTTGGGTCCCATGGCTGGACAGGAAGATGTCAGCTCTGGGGCTTGCCTGGGCACTGACACAGCATTCCCTTGGGGACAGGAAACATCTGCCTCGGTCACGTGGGGCTCTCAGTGACTATGGGGTGGGAGGCAGACACTGGTGGGCCCCTCCGTGGGTGGGGATAAGGAGCTCTCCCAAACTCTGGTTAGCTCAGTGCTCAGGAACTGGCCCTGAGAGTAGGAATGGGCAAGGCAGGGTGAGAAGACCCAGGAAAAGGCAGTGCTGGGGCCCAGCTAAGGAATGAGGCTGGGAGGGGGATCACAGCAAATGGAGAGCAGCATTACAGAAGGAGGAAAGATGGTCTTCAGAGTCTTCCAAATATAGAATCTGAGGTTGCAGAGCTGTGAAGGAGGGAGGTAAAGTGTCCCACCCAGAGTCCAAGGCCATTCTGACTCTAAATTCTGTATGAGTGTCCCCACCTAAGCTTTCAGGAGACAGTCCTTCTCCTGCGGTACAACTTCTCAATAGGAATTCCCACCCTGATGGTGGACCTGGCCTATCTTCATTTATTCCACCGGATGCTCTCTGGATCCTTTCAATGTGGACCCATGTTCTTAAGTTCTGAGAATCACATTATTCCTTTGATAATTCCCCATTTTCTCTGTCCCCTCCTCTGTTTTACTGAAACTCCTTAATTAGTTGGATTTTGAATCTCAGGTATTCATCTCATTTTCGAGTTTTTTCTCCTATTTTCCATCTTTTTGTCCATTTTGTTCTGACTTTTAGAAGACATTCTCATCTTTTTTTTTCCCATCCCTTCTATTGTCTTTTATATCTTTATGCCTTGGTGTTTTTAATTTATAGGATTTCTTATTCTCTAAACATTTCTTATTTATAGCATATTATTTTTGTTTCAGGAATACACTATCCCCTCTGTTGGGAGATAATTCTTCAAGAAGATTTTCACATTTTTGTTTGATCTGAGCCTTCTGAGCAAAAGACACTGACCAAAGTTTGTTCCCAGGGTGACTGAATAGCAAACATGGCTGAGAAGCTAGAGACAGTCTAGAGACAAATCTCCAGAGAGATTTGCTTACATCCTTCCCTGCCCTCCCTGGACAAGGGTGGTTATTTTGTTTTGTTTTTTAATAGAAGAAGATGCTGGGGCTCCAAGGAGTTGGGGGAACTTGCTTAAAGTTTCTTAGTAGGAGGTAAAGCTGAAGTTTGAAACCAAAGTATCTGACCCCCTTCAGTCGAGTGTGTCCCTAGAGAGTCCGATGGCAATTCGAATCCCCAGGCAGATGTCTCCAACATGGCAGAGCAGGATAGAGAAAAGGTCGCACTCTCAAGACAAGAAAGCTCCAGCTGTGCTGCAGTGCCAGACAGGCCTGCCCAGCCTGGGAGGGGGCCTCCCTGCCATCTCATCAGCACTGGTGCCCCGGAGGGGGCAGCAGGAGTGGGCCCAGGTTGGGCTCTGCTCAGTCTTGACCACTGCTTAGGATGAGAGAGGAGGAAGTTTCAAGTGCTGCTGAATCAGAAGGCCAGAAAAACACAGTTGGGACCGGTGGAGCAGCCTTGGGGAGCGTGGGCAAGGCAGGGCTGGGGCAGGGTTGGGCTGAGGAAATGAGGCTGGAACACAAGGCTGCATCAGGTATTCAAACCCCCAGGTGCCCATGCCCATGTCCAGGTTAGGGTCAAAGCAGCCACATGTGGCCACTGTGTGAGTGACTCCCGCCCAAGGATATAGCCGACTCATTTCTTCCTCTTCCCAACAGCCCACCCAGGGAAAGTCTGTGTCCAGTTTCCCCTCACTCTTGGAATGGGTGGTGTGTGTACTGAAGAGAGAGACGAAATTCCCTGAGCTGCGCGAGCTGTTTCCTCACAGCAAATACTCTTCCCCATGATATCCTCGTGGTTCGCTTCGTCGCCCCCTCCGAGTGTTTCTCAAGTGCTACCTCCTGACTACCCTTTAGAATTGCATCATCCCCATCCCTCTGCACTCCCAATACTCCTGACCATCTGCCTCACTCATTAATTCTGTCTCCTCTCTCCTCCCACTAGAACGTGGCTCAGCATGGGCCGAAAGCTTTGCCTGTTTTGTTCACGATTGTGTCTCCAATGCTTAGAATAGTACTGGCACAGAAAATATCCGTCGAATAAACAAATGAAGAAGTGAGTAAGATTGAGGCTAGAGGGAGTTAGAAGGACATGTTGAACACCAAGTGAAATTTGGATTTCCAGGCTCTACTGGGGACTTTGGGTAAGTCCTTTCTCTTGTGAGCCTCACTTTCCCTTCTGTACAACGAGGGGCTTGGATCAGTAGCTCCCAGCTCTGGTGTGCTGCCCTCTGTACCTCAAGTCCTTGTTGTTTCTCTGGAAGAGAAGTGACGTGACAGAAGCAAAAATCTAGGGAGATGAATGGATGAGTCGGCTGGGACCTGGATGGACTTGGGATGAGGGGGTGGGGAAAAGAGGAAGTAGAGAGGCCAGCAATAATCCTAGGGAATTTACAGACAGGAGGCAAGAGGGGAGAGGAGAGGAAGACTAGATGCTAGAGAAATTCCAGATGAGGAAGCAGGACTTGGTAATTAGAGCTAGGAAAGAGAGAGAGAAGAATAAAAATGTTGACCAGTTTGGAGCCTATGAGAATGGAGGGACATGGTAGACTAAGACCCTAGGCCCCAAGGAGCCAGATCTTTTTCCTCATCCAAATTCATTCTCCCAGCTATGCAGCAAAAGAGAAGACCCTCGTGACGCCCAAAATGATCCATTTAAACCCGAAGTCTTGCATTTATTTGTTAGAATGTTTGAAGTCCAATGTCTAAAAGTTGTTGAATGTCCTTCCCACCTCCAGGCATATACAGGTACACACACGCATGCGCACGCACACACACACACACACACACACACACACACACACACACACACACACCCTTGCTTCCAGGGGCCAAGAGAAGCAGAGTACAGACAGAGTGGCCTTTTTCCAAAGCAGAATCAGGAGTCTCGGTGTCCAAGGGGCGAGTGTGCAGGCTGGGGTGGTCTCTGCAGACCTCCAGGCCCTCTCCTCCCACGTAGAGTCCTCTCCTCTCAGGTGTCTCTGAGCCCTACAACAGACGCAGTATTCACAAGGCCCCTCTCAGCCCCACCCCACCCTCTCTGCCCCATCTACTCCCAGCCATTCCTGTGCTCTCCAAGCTCACCTGTCAGAGTTTGGAGCTGGTAACCTGGGTCATAGTCACAGTCCTCCTGTCTGGCCAGGGTTGTCCCCTGTTTCTGCCCATGCCAGGCCACAGCCCAGAGGGCGCTGGCTGCTAGAAGCTTGCTGAGAAAGATGCAGGCCAGGAGGAAAAGGATGGAAGTGGGTGGAAAGGGGACCTCCTCTTCCGAGAAGCTCCTTAGAAAAACAAGGAGAGCATGTAGGAGGCCTCGAGGTGGCCTACAGACTGGAATCTTCCCTCAGAGAAGGAATGGGGAGGTACCAGGAGCTTCCAGGGACTCACGATACCCACCACCCAGCATCATCCCTAGGATGGAGCTTTGTGGGGATTGGGAAGCCTGTGTCAGGAGACCTGAGTTCTAGGCATGGATCTGCCTGCTGAGTGCATTTAAACACATCACCTTCCCTCCCTGAGTAGTTCCTGCCTTACATGATGATGTGGTATGGGGTGCATATGTGTGCGGGAGAGGGACACATGTGTGCTCTGTGGTCATATTAACAACATTTAACACCAGTACACAGGTATGAACTAATCATAACTGATTCTGGTCCCATCAAAGGGGCAGAGATCTGGGGATCTGAGTTTTGCACTAAAGTACTAAAGCTTTCATTGTTGCTGAATAGTAGGGATGTCTGAGGGCCCCCGGGGAAGGTACAGGAGGCTGAACATCAGGAGTCTTGGAGCCACAGCTATTTACAAACTATTATGAAAATATTTCAATATATTAGCAACTGGCACAGTCATACCAACACACAATGACCGGTTGGAAAGGTGTTTAGACAAGGTCATATCCAGGCCTTTCCATGCTCTGACTGGAATTTGTAGTTCTGGGACCCCCAGCCTCCACCCCATGCCCAGGCACCGTAAGGTAGAAGTCTGCCAGGGGTCTTAGAAAAGACCTATCACTGTACCTGGAGATGCTGTGCTCCACCTGGGCATCCCCGAAGCTCTGGGACTCCTCGGGGATCCAGAGATCATCAAGGTCCTGGCGATCAAGAGGGTCTGTGAGAGACAGAGCCTGTGAGCTTCTAGCCCTCTCCCCCTTCAGGCAGCCTGCTGAGGTGGGGTGAGGCCCTCTGGGCTCCAGCCCTGTGTGGGTCAAGTTGTTAACCTCTCTGAGCCTTAGCTTCTTCACCTGTAAAATGGGGCAGTTAGGAACATCTCCTTAATAACAGTGTTCAGGATTCAACAGGAGCATCCTGTATAGCGCCTAACACCTCCTTAGGAGCTCGGTAACTGCAGCTCCCATCCTCCCATCTTACAGGATCTTTGGGAAGATCAAATAGAATAATAGATGTATTTGAAAGTCCTCTGCGAACTGCCAAGCTGTTTATACAAGCTATGGATTATTATTATTATTATTATTATTATTATTTTATTAAATTATTATTATTTTCCTGCCACCCTCTTGGGAGTCAGCTGAGACTTAGACCCAGATAGCAATGAAAATTTCTGTCTTCTCACCCCCTACTTAGAAAAGTGGTGGAAGTGGGGTTTCGGGTCTATGGCAGGCAGTCTCCCCTTAAGTTTCCTACCTTAGACAAATACTATACTGAACCCTCATTTCCATGATAACTGGTCACATTGAGGAGAGGAGCCTGGAAAGGGAGGAGTCAAAAAAGGGATAGTAACCCCAGATTTCTTCTCCTTTGGGTTACAATCACATTCTAGAGACACAGGCAGAGGCTTTCCTGGAGGCTATGCTCTGTGCAAAGCTAAGGGGCGGGGAGGAGTCCCTACTACCCGGTCTAACCTAGTCAAGCCTGGAATGAGGATGCCAAGCTTTTTTGGCTGGGGCATGGCTGTCACTTACCCCCAAGCACATTTAACTCTGTCATCTCATGTGTGCCTCACAGGAACCCTGCAAGGTCAGCAGGACTGACACCATCACCTCCAGTTAAAGATGAGGAAGTAGAGCCCCAGAGAGACCAACACGTTGCCCAAGGTGGTCACAAGCAGTGCTCCTTCTTAGGGTTGTTTTTCTGTAGCTGGTTGGTGCTTGATTTATGTCAGTAGGTCCATTGGGTGGTTGGGTGAGGGAATAAATGGGTCTCCTCCTACTACTTAAGGACCACCTGCAGTGTTCACAACCTAACCAATGTCAAATGGATAAAGCTGTTTGGGGAAGCAGGACCACAGCTAGCTCATAAAGTACCTTGTACAAATTAGAGAATGGTCCCCTTCCTGCAAGTGACACAGCCCTGCCCCAGGGAGCACAGCCTGGACAGAAGAGTCAGGGCTGGGTTGTGGCAGTGAGCAACCTGCATAAACATCCACAGTGGCCCACTGGAGAATGGGGGGCGGGACAAGAATCACACTGCAGATTTTCCCAGGGTCCCCAAAAGGAGCAACCTGCATAAACATCCACAGTGGCCCACTGGGGAAGTAGGGAGGAGGGTAGGACAAGAATCACACTCCGGATTTTCCCAGGGTCCCAGAGGGTGGGATGTGCACAGACACCAAAGACATGAGTCCCAGCCCAAGGGCGGGCCAGGTGCAGTCAGCCACCCACTCACCTTCCAGCACCTCCACTAGGACTTTCCTGAGGGTGTCAGCCTCGCTACCACGGAGGCTCTGACACTGGTAGAGGCCAGCATCATGGACTTGAAGATTCCGCAGTGTAATGGTAAGTGTGCCACCCAGGGCATCGTCTGTGATGGCAGTGCTCCCATTCTGCCTCTTCAGGAAGGACAGCAGCCATGATCTGTGGGTGCTGACCACCCGCTGGCACAGGCCCTCTTCACCCAGCTGGCGGCACCAGGCTTTACGCCTCCCCCAGTGCTTCAAGGAGTCATAGGGGCAGGAGACCCGGAGGGACTGGCCCGCCAGGCCCTGGAACACTGTGGTGTTGTGAGCTCGGGACAGCTCTGGGGAAGAGACATTTGTTCACACCTTCATTCATATATAAAATATTCACCTAACACTTACTCTGTACAGGCTTGACTAGGTTAGACAGGGCAATGGGGCTCCTTTCTACCCTTGAGCTTTGCACAGAGGGTGCCCTCCAGGAAAGCCTCTGCCTGAACAAAAGAGGCAGAAATCCTGCTCTCAAGGAGCTCAAGTTCTTTAGAAGTTGGAAGAAGGTGGCACAGCCCAGGCATGTGTTTATGGGAAAGTGGGAACCAGGAAACCTGGGTCCTGGGTCTGACTTTATCATCCTTGGACTTGCTGGACATCGTTGAAGGACTCACTGACTCCCTCTGGGCCTGTTTCCAAATACAGTTGGTTTTGAAGTTCTCTCCAGTTCTATTCCACACACCTTCTCCCTATCACATGGCACCAAGACCTCTCCTCTTGCTTCTCCATCTTAAGAGAGAAGGGCCGGTGGCTTTCTCAGGCCTGGGGCTGGTTCCACAGGGGGCTGGACACCCCTTCCCTGTCCTAGCCATGTTTGCTTTCTCTACCACTGCCCACGCTGGTATCAGCTCTGAATTATCCTCTTTCTGGCCTTTAGCTTTCAGCTTCCCTATTTCTGTCTCTTTGTTCCCCTTTCAGGAGAGATTTGTCCCAGAGTTATTTTGGGGGAGACATGAGGCTGCTATTTTGGAGGCCCTCCTTGGGGTGGGGAAGATGGGCTTACAGCACCCATCTACTGCAGAGAAGGGGGTGCAGGAGAATCACCCAGAACCCTCTGCCTCAACTTCTCCTCTCTTGGTCCTCCTCCCTTTATCCCATCTTCAACCATATGGTGACGAAAACTTGAAAGATAGGGTTGGGGAAATGATTGCCTGCCTTTTGGAACCAAAGAGATCTGATGAACAGTACCTCCTCCACTTGTCACCCCCTCCATCCCTCTGCCTCCATGCAGGCCACCCCCTCCCACCTCTCCCCGACTCCATCCCAGCTAAGAAACTGCAAGCTCCATTAAGGTGGTTTCCTCTCACCCAAGTTTGTCTATTGCTCTGGGGGAGCAAGAATCACCCTCCCCACAATGAGAAAAGGCAAGAGGCAGGAAAGAAGGCATCAGTGGTGGAAGGAAGGGGTCCTACCTGTGACAGAGAGCAGGATAAGCAGCTGAGGAAGCTCCATGTCACCCTTCCCTGTGGAAGGCAGATGCAGGGTGCGTTGTCCAATATCTCTTGTCTTTCCCTTGAACTACAGAAAGGAGAATGTCAGGCGCTGCCCACAGGAACTGGCTCCTGGGGATTGAGCAATAATCAGGACTGGGGTCTGGCTTTATGATTCAGAGAGGGGTTGTGGGGTGGGGGAGGAGAGGAGAGGAGGAGCCAGCCACTGCTGCCTGGCATCAGGAAGCTGAGGATCTCAGACCTCCGAGAGGCCAGCCCACTGTCCATGCCAGCCAGCATGGCCCCACTTGGCTGGGGCTGGTTGGGGTTCGGGGATGTAGAGCCTAGCCCAAGGATCACTGTCCTCATAGCTATGTTCAGACCCTCCTCCAGCTACAGCGCCTGCCATTCTCTGGTTCCAGCCTTGCAAGGAATAGAGAACAGCTGCTCCCCTTGGAAGACAGGACTATCACCCAGCACCTTCTGGTCCTTTCCTCTGGGCCAGCATTCCTGTGGAGTGGCAACAGTAAATAACACAGCTCTGGAGCCAGGCTTCGTGGCTTCAAGTTTCTCCTTCTTCATCCCCTGTGTATGTAGCCGCACATTTATAACTTCTCTGTGTCTCAGTGCCTTTATTTGGAAAATGGGAATAATAATACTGTATAGGGTTATTGGGAGGATAACATGGGTTTCTATAGGCAAAGTGCTTTAGAATAGGGCCTGACACACATAAGCACTCAACAAAATTAACTAGTACTATTATCCTGCTTAGCAGGGGAAAGGGAAAATGGGCTGTCAGTGAGATGGAGACTATTTTCTCTGCCACCCAGAATCTCCTGCCCAAGGTTAGCTCTCTTTGCACAGCTGAACACCTCCTGTGTGCACATGCTCACATGGCCATTATTTTGTGCACGCACACCTTGAACTCCCCACCATCCTATGGGACAAGACAGAATGCGATATTTCCTGAAGTTCTGGGGACAGGGGTGTGCTTTTTCTACAGGTGCAGGTCCTACGAAGGGTGATCCAGGCACAGGGAGGCCTGCGTATGCAAAGGCACAAAGGAGTAAAATGGCCAGGTGAATCGGGATGGGGTGTGAGAGGCGAAAAACTTCCTAGGGGCAGGACATCGAGCTGTGCTAGTGGAAGTAGCAGGAGAGGCTGGAGTTGCTCACTGGGGCTAATAGATTATCAGAGCCTACTTTGATTTCCCGCAACCAGTCGTTGATTTGTTTTCTCATTCATTTACCCAAATTTATTATGCACCTATCATATGGACAAGGTCTGTACATGGAAATGGGGAGTTAATGGTGACTATAAGACAGTCCTTCACTTAGAGAGCCAACTGCTCAGACTTGATGTAAGGGCCTAAGGAATGAGAGGTCTGGGGCTCCCTAACAATCACTGTAGAAGACCCTGTTATGATCTTTAAAATAAGAATTATTGGCATATAATTTAATATACCCCATTAGAGTATCCAGTTCTATGAATTTTGACAAATTCATACATCTATGTAACAACCACCACAATCAAAATACAGAACATTTCTATCAGCCAAAAATAGTTCCCTTGTGCTCCGTTTAGCCAATCCCTTCCTCTCCAGTCCAAACTCTGGCAACTACTTATCTGACTTCTGTTCCTAGAGCATCCTGCACTTTCCAGAATGTCATATACATGGAATGTTATAGAATGTAGTCTTTTGGGTCTGGCTTTTTTTTTTTTTTTTTAACTTACCATAATGCATTCAACATGCATGAAGTTGCACTTATCAGTAGTTCATTTTTTCTAATTGCTAAGTATTTTACTGTGTGAATAAACCACAGGTAGTTTATCCATTCACCAGCTGATGAACATTTGAGTTATTTGGGGGCAATTATGAATAAAACCACAATAAGCATTCATGAACATATATCTTGTGTGGATACGTTTTCATTTCCCTCAGATAAAATCTTAGCAGTGGGAATGTTATGTGGTAAGTGTTTGTAGAAGCTGTCGCACTGTTTTTGCGAAGTGGTTGTACCATTTTTACATCCTTGACAAGTTTGATATTGTTGTGTTTCTTTTTAAGCCATTTAAGTCAGTTTATGGTGATATCTCATTATGGTTTCAATTAGTATTTCCTAATAACTAATAAAGTTGAATACCTTTCATTGTTCATTTGCCATTTGTTTATCTTCTTTGCCAAAGTATTAGTCCATTAGTTCAAATCTTTTGTCCATTTTTATTGTTTATTATTATAATTACTATTGAGTTGTGAGAATTCTTTATATATTCTAGATACAAATATTTTATCAGATACTTGATTTGCAACTATTTTTTCAAGTCTGTAGCTTGTTTTATCATTTCTTTATCAGTGTCTTCCAAAGGGTAGAAGATTTTAATGCTGATAAAGTCCAATGTATTGATTTTTATTTATAATTTATGGGGTTTTTTGTGTTCTATTAAGAAAAATTTGCCTACCTCAGAGTCACAAAGATTTTCTCCTGTTTTCTGTTAGAAGATTTATAGTTTTAGGTTTTACATTTTGGCCCATGATCCATTTCAAGTTAGTTTTTGCATGTGATGCAAAATATGATTTGTGTGGGGGCTTTTTGTTTTTTGTTTGTTTGTTTGTTTTTGCCTATGGCTATCCAATTGAACCAGCATCATTTGTTGAGAAAACTATCCTTTTTCCATTGAATTTTCTTAATGTCTTTTTGCAAATCAATTGATGTGTAGGTTTATTTCTTGACTGTTCATTCTGTTCCCTTGAGCTTTGTGTCTATCTTTTCACTAATATCACACCATCTTGACTACTCACTGTAGATTTACGACAAGTGTTTAAATCAGGCAGTGTGAGTAATCCAACCACATTGTTTTTTTCAAAATGGTTTTGGTTGTCCTAGTTACTTTGCTTTTCCATGTAAATTTTAGAATCAGTTTGTCAATTTCTCCTCCCTAACCCCAACAAAATGAAAACCTGTGGGGCTTTTGCTTGGGATTATATTGAATCTATAGCTCAGTTTGGGGACAACTAGATATCTTAATACTATTAAGTCTTCCAATCCATAGACCCAGGTCAGCTCTCCATTTATTTATTTCTTCTGCAGTTTCTCTCACCAACGTTTTATAATTATCAGCATACAAATCTTGCACCTATGTTGTTAAATTTCTACCTAAGTATTTCACGATCTCAGTGCTACTTTAAATGTTTCCAGCTTTCTATATCTTAGGCAGAAGCAGAACTCAGAAGTCCCATGAATATTTATTTTACTTTCTGGCCCATTCATGCTCCATTCTGACTCTTTCTACTCTACCAGAGGAAAGGGTCTCCTTTCTTCCTTTTAGCCTCCTTTCAAAGGGCAGGCACCAAGAAATCTTTTCTAATTCTTCACGGCACATGCATATCAAATGTTCTCATATTTTAGCTTGGATTAACTTGCGGTTCAATTCCCTGACCCTCATATCTGAGCATAGAAACATTTCTGTCCACCCGAAACCCAAGCACAATGTCCTTCCTTACTCTTTGCCAAATCTGAGTTCCAAGATACCTACCACCTCACATTTGGGCACAGAGATCTTTTTTCCTCTTTCATTACATCCGAATGCTATCATTCACTAATGCATGGATTCAGCTGCTATGCATGTGCCAGTCACTGTGCTAGAGAACTTAGGTCTCTTGGAGGCCTGATGTTCCTGGATATGATGGTGATCGTGCTGAGAACCAGGAGTGTGACTGGACACATGAAATACTCTTGATGTCTGACTTGGGCTGAAACTTCACAGTTGCTAGGCAATCCTTTTCAGGATGCCTAGAGATTGCCTAGTAAACTCCATATAGCAGCTGGTCCAAATCGTCACTCTCGAACACAAACTTCTATCTACCTCCCTCCTCTTCCCTAGGAATAAATCAAGTTTGTCATGTGTGAGTATCCTCACCCTTTTTCAGATCCTCCATTATCCACTCATTCCCAGTCTAGCCAACCTGAGAGGCTAGAGAAGCACGTCTGGTAAGGACCATAGCCAGCACCCAGGCCTACACTGAGCTGGGGGTGGGAGGGGAGAACATGTAGCTTGGAAACAGGCTTCTCAAAGCTGAAAAAAACTGAAACTATCAGGGAACATCATCAGCCCAACCTGAGAAAGCCTGCCCAGCTTTGCCTGAGAAGTGGGCTGGAGAGAGTAACTGGTGGTGTCCACCATCCCTTGGCCGCCTCAAACACCATAGCCCACAAATGTCATTTTCTGATGAGCAGCCACCTAAGACTTCCTTACCAAGTTCTCTCTTTGGTCTTGTCCTGCTTTTACTTGATCTCACCTTCCTCAATCCAAACCCCTGCCTTTAAGCCCCAACTTCTCTCTCACCTCTGATCCCTTGCAGACCTGACCTTCTCCCACATTCCTCTTTTGTATTTGTCCTGTCACTCTCTGGCACTTCCAGCTGAGGCAACTCCCTCACCTTACCATCTCATACTATCTGAGTTGAGGATCTCTGGCCCTGTCCAAGTCCAGTGATTCCTCTCTTCAGAGCAAGACTTATCCCAAGGAGTTTGTGTGAGGGCATACCCACACACACATACACATGCACATATGCATGTTCTGGGATTAGATTAGGTCAAAGGCAGGCAGACAGCAGGCCATTCTGGCAGCAGCTGGTGGGCCCAGTGAAGTGATGCAGGATGACAGGTCCGAAGGGAAGATCTGGTCAAGAACGCAGGAGCTGAGAGGCAGGGACCCAGGCACTGAACCTGGTACAAGGCGTCATCGGCATTACAGGGCTGAGACACAAGTATAGAGACTCTCATCTGCCACCTGATTGGATCAGGACTGGTCCAGATTCTGGCCGGGTTTGGGGAGAATGTAAAACCTGCACATGGGGTCAAAGCATGGGGACTGGAAGGCTGGGTGGGACAGAAACTGGAACTACAGAGTAGGGGTTAAGTACACAGGCTTTGCGTTCTTACAAATCTCTGCTTAAGCCCAGCTCTGCTATTTACTAGCTTTGTGGCCTTGGACAGGTTTCTTAACTCTCTAGGCTGACTTCACTCTCTAGGTATGCAAAGTTACGGCACATAGTTAAGTGCTCGAAAAAAATAGCTAGCATTATTGTTTTCTCTCTTTAATATATTTCTCTCAAAAATCTCCCTTTCTTCCTCCTACCTATCTCCATCCCAGAATTTCATTTCCTTTTCCAAGATATGACTTCACTCTCACTCTCGCTCTCACTCTAGCTCTTCCACTCTCCCTGCCTTCCGCCCTCCTCACTCTCTCTCTCCCCTGGACAATCCCCAGGAACTTGCTTTCTCACCTACAACCTCTCTCATCCATTGTCTTCAAGTTCTATTACCCATCCACACCCAGCACCTTTCCGTCCACATTCACATGGGCACATTCTCACCTGCTTTGAAAAGCTCCTCACTTGTCTCTGCTTCTCCTTCAGCTGCTGCTCTTTCATTATCATGTATTTTTTTTCTACTTTTAGGGACAGCTTTGCTATTCATGCTCTTCCACTGCTCCTTTGAGTCTGGTCCCCAGAAGTCACCAACAGCCTCCTCCCAGCCCTCCCCTTTACTGCCTTTGACATCCTTGACCACTGTCTTGATCATCCTCCACTCCTGTACCCACCTCACCAACCCTTGCTCTCCCTTCTCAGTCCTGCTCTGTCCCTAAGAGAATGACCCCTTTGGACTCCATCGCCCAGGCTTCCAGCCCACTGGCTTACTGCTCCATCTAACCAAAGGGAAATGTTGGCTAGAGTTTAGACACTGGCCACTTTCCTCTGTAGCCACAGCTCCTGTCAGTGGCCCCTCTTCCATGGCTGCATTAACACAGATCTCTCTCCCCACCCTTTCAAGTCTAGGGGGTGTTAACAGCTTCCCATCTTTGGATGCGTCATCATCCCTTGCTTGTTCCCTTATCCTTGCTCACAGCTCTGTAAAGAGCTCTGTTAAAATGATCGGCAATTGAACTTTATTGTGTGTGCATCTGTTCCTGGAAGTAACTTGGCCTACCATTACCCCTCCTCCTCAACATTACTTTCATTCTTACAGAAGGGAATGGGAGAGCTGGAAGCACTCTTCCCAGAGCTACATTGATTTATTCCACACATATTTTCCAAACACTCACCATGTGCCAGTCAGCATGCCAGGTGGTGGGAAGATGCAGTAAACAGAAGAGGCGCTGCCTCTTCGTTGTGAACGTAGAAGTGATGTTACTGTAAATCTATAGCAGCTGGACTCTAGAAGGTCAATATCCTGGGCTTGGGGAGTCAAGGGGCTCTATAAATGAGTAATCAGAAAGAGTTTTGGACATATCTGGCCATTTCGGCTAAAAAGGTACATTTGAGCATCTAATCCAAAAGTGAGCTGAGAAGTCAAGATGCCTATCAGGGTGGAAATGGGGGACCAGGCTTTGACCACAGAGATCCACAAACCGAAGATGGGTCTTTCCACGGCTGGGAGCATAATGCCCTAAAAATAAAAGAGGGTTATTAGAGGATTGCAGCCTTTCCGAAGAGAAAAAACGAGTTTCTCCAAAGGACCTGATTCCCGCCCCAGCGCTGAGTGGACCCCACATGGTGGCGCTATTCCCCCGTAATACCCTGGCCTAGGTGAAGTCACAAGTCCTTTCTCCTGCACTCAGAGCTCGTTGGACAATGGGAGATCAACAAGGAAATAAATCCTGAGACCAGTGTGCATCTAGATCAGCCCTTTCTAACATCTGAAATGTTAACATAACCGTGAAAACTTTTTTAAATTACTCTAAATTTTTGAGACGTCAGCGGAAGCTCTGGAGTTAGCATTTGTGTCTAGATTAGAGAAGAAAGAAAAAAAAATAGCCCTAAAGACAAATTAGTGGCCACAAAATTTGATCAATTTTCCAAAAAATTTTAAACAAAGATTTAAAAATTACAATTTAGAAAAAATAGGTAATGTTTACAGACCTAGTGTTGAAATTATAAGACTCAAGCTATAATAGTGCTTATTAAGTAGATAACATACATCAATATTATCAATAGTGACTTGACAAATACTTCTTGTGCAGTTGAAACATCATACCTTCAAGCCACAGGCAATTTCCCTCAGGACCACCTGGCACACTTAGGAGGGGCACAACATTAAAGGGAAATTATATCTATTAAAAGAATAACTATATAAAATGTGCTCTGCATTTAAAAAAATCTTTTAAAACCTATATCCAATTAATTTTTACATGAAAATATATATAAAAATTGACTCTAAAAATGTAAAAGTTGTCCATAATTCCACCATTTAAAACACGCTAGCATGTATTGAGTGCTTACTATGTGTTAGGCCTTGTTCTAAACACTTTAAATGTGTTATATCATTGCCTGTGAGGTAGGTAATATTATTGTTCCAAGTAACAAAGACCCAGAGAAATAAAATAACTCATCCAGGATCACACGGCTAGTACAAGGTGGAAGTTAGATTTAGATTCAAGTAATCTGGCTCCAGGCCAGTCCTCTTCATAATTTTGTTGAGTGGTATTTTTCTTCACTCCAATAATCCCATTCCCCAAAAATAATCACTAGTAACATTTTGGTGTGTGTTCATCCCGTCATTTTTCTATGGTAACAACAGAGACAAACAAAAACACACTCATGCCAGATATTATGTTGTGGCTTGTATTTTTTATTTAATATATACAGAACATCTTTCTATATGAACAGATATAGTTTCACTTCATTCTTTGTAATGTCTAGATAGTATTCCTTGATGTGGCTATAGCATAATTTATTTAATTGACCTTCTGTTAATGGACATTAAGTTTCTAAGAGTTGACTCTTTCAAATTGTGATAAGCATAAATTGCTTTTCCTTACATTAAATTTTTTGGAGTAAACTAGCGTGAATTATTTTCACATGACACTTATTAATGCCTCTTAAAATACAATGTTTTATGGAGTACTAGGAGTGAATCTAAATACTTTAGTGGCTGTAGTAAGCTTCAGCTTGTGGTCCCTTCATTTCAGATTCCAAGGCTACTGTCATATAGCAGAACGCAGCCTTTATCAATCTCCTGTCTCACAAACACAAATATCTCAACTCTTAAAAGACAAGACCTAAAATACAGGGATCAAAGAGATATGGAGGATCCATGTTTTCTTCTACCTCAAGCCTAACTCATTGATTTCTAAGTTTTTGGCAGAGGGGACATGACTTCTTCAATACAGACATTAACAGCCACCGTGGGTGGGCAAAGGATTGAATAGCCAGGAAAACTGGGTCAAGAAGAGATTTGATGGGGAGATATGAGAAGGTAGCTGCCAGGTATTGACAGCAAGATAAATTTAGACTTTGAAAATGTGCTCTTGTGTGTTTCTTTGAGGAACAGAGTAAAGCTTTAGATTATCTTGATGCCTTTTTGTTGGAGTCAGCCTGGATTTCCTTGAATGAAAGGCCTCAAAAGACAGAACCGCTCGGAAGTCCATTTTGTATATTGGTTACAGGTGTGATAGCTGCAGTAGATGGAAGAAGGGGCTTGTTTGGAAAAGTCCATTAAGGAATCCAGGGATAAAGAAGCTGAGGCAGGAGAAGAGGTAGTAGCAACTAGGAAAGAGAAGACAAGCCAAATTTCTGAACCCTAGGGAAGTTGCCCTAGGATTTAGAATTTACATTAAGAACTTTTATTTCACCATGTCCTGACTCTTAAGAGAGACTAAGGAGTTGTTCACCAGACTATTTCCTTCTGAGAACACAGGTAGACTATATCGTTCAGCCTCTCTTGCAGTTAGGGGTGGTCAAGTGACTGGGTTCTGGAAGAAACGACGTTTGTCCCTTCCGGGCCTGGCCCATAAAGCCTCCTGTGCTGTCTTCAGTGTTCTCTCTCTCTCTCTCTCTCTCTCTCTCTCTCTCTCTCCTCATGTGCTGCCCAGATGCAGAGGATCCAGTGAAGGGCTTTGAGGCACTAGAAGATAACAGAGCCACTAGCTGGAAAAAACCTGGGTCCCTGAATGACTGTGTGAAGCAGAGCTTTCTCACCAACCTGCACTGTAGCATGACAGGAGTGAGAAATAAACTTTTATTGTTTTCCTTTGTTGTTCTTGTTGCTAGCTTACCCTGGCTGATGCACTGTGGAATAGGGGTATTTCTCCTACTTCTTGGTGCTTCTTCTCTGTTTTCTTCTTTGAATCCTCATCTCTCTCTCATTGCTTAAACAAAAATATTTCCCAAGAGTCAGAGTTGTTCCGGGCACTTTCCTCTGGGTCAGCAAGTGACCCTATTCCCCACCTCATTTTTGAGCTCCAGACTCTCGTCTCCAATTGCTTAATTGTCCTGCAATTCTAAATGCTTCTAAACCTAAACTTATTATCTTTTTCCCCAAACTGGCTCTTTCTTCTAACTTGTCTTTCAATGTCACTGGCCACCGGGCTTCTCCTAGTCAGACTGGCCGTGCACCACTGTATGTTCCTCAATTCCTCCCTCCCCCTCACTTCCCACACCAGGCAGAGAACGGTCACTCCTCTTCTCTTTTTCTCACATCCATCCTCACTCCTCTGCTACCATCACAGCTTCAGCTCTTTCCTCAAGCTGGGTGGCAACCTCCAGCCCTCCTCAGTGGCCTCCCTGTTCTTCAAATGCCAGCACCCGGGGCTATATCCACATCAGCTCTTACCTGGCCTTTTGTAATAGCTATTTTCTTTTTAATTAAGAAATATTTTAAGCATACAGAAACGTATAGAGAATAATATAACTAACATTTGTACCAATCAATCAGCTTTGTCAAATCTTAATAACTGACTGTATTTAAAGATAGAAAAGAGATAAAGAGGAAAAAGTGATTCAGATCTAGAAAATGAAAAGCTTATGTTATCTCTTATATTGAAGTAGATGGAATTTTACAGTAAACTTATTAACACTAAAATTTAGATATAGAGCCATGTTTAAGTTTTTTTTCTGTTGTTCCCTCTATGTTGCATAAATCTCTAATATAACAGAAACGTAATAACCACATATACCTATTGGTTTTATATGCATTTTTATAAAGCAAATGCCCTTTGGGGTGCCTAAATTCATTCACAGAAGTAGATTTTTGTGTGTGTGTGATTATCATCACAGACTCCCAGAACAAGAAAATATAAGGTTATCTATCTATCTATCTATCTATGAACATACATATATTTTTAAATAAAACATTACAGACATATTTGAAACCCCCTCCTGGTATACTTGGTATAAATGTATCTAGTTGAGATTTGAATTTCTTTGATAGCTAGTGAAGTTGAACGCTATTTATGTGACTTTAGTTTTTTAATTTTCTCGTGAGTGATTTTTTTTAAACCTATAACTTGCCAATTAAAAATGATCTGTCTCTTTTATTGATTTATAAATTCTGGCTACTAACTCTTTATCAGTTATGTCCATTGCCAATGCATCCCCCTGTCTTTGGCCCATCTTCCACTTTATTCTGGTGTCTTCTTTTGTACTAAGGTTTTCCATTTTAATATAGTCAAATACGTCACATTTCCCCTTTATAGTTTGTGCTTTTGATGTCTTGCTGAAGGAATCCTCCTGTACCCTGAAGTTATAAAAACTATTTTTTTTTTGTCTAAACATTTTATTGTTTGGTAAATGACAATTAGGTTT